AGGTGTTCAGAATGGTTTGATCCCTATCCAGCTGAATTCCTGAGAGGAGACGAAATCCAGGTCTCCTACTCCTCCGCCATCTTGCTCCGCCCCCGATCATGTGGTATTTCTATTTTTAATTTTTTGAGGAACCTCTGTACTGTTTCCTAGTGGCTACACCAGTTTGCATTCCCACCAACAGTGCATGAGTGTTCCCTCTTCTCCACATCCTCACCAACACTAATCATTTCTTGTCTTTTTTATACTAGCCATTCTGACTGGCGTGAGGTGATAGTCTTATTCATTTGAATGTCACATAAATGGAATTATTTTATTTCCTTCTCAGATTGTTCACTGTTTGTATGTAGAAATGCAACTGATTTTTGAAGGTTAGCTTTCTATCCAGTTATTTTCCTGAAATAATTTACTAGTTCTATTATTGTTTTTGTGGCTTCATAGGATTATCTACATATAAGATCACACCATCTGCAGATATAAATTTATTTCTTCCTTTCCAATTTGGATACCTTTTATTTCTTTTTCTTTCTTTAATTGCTCTGGCTAGAACTCCTAGTTTTAAATTGAGTGGAAGTCAGGAAAGTGGGCATCCTTGCCTTGTTCCTGATCATACAGGAAAAATGTTCCCTGTATCTCCAGCAAAGTGTACCATGTTTGCTGTGGGTTTTTCATAAATGGCATCCTGTTGAGATAGTTCCTTTCTGTTCCTAGTTTATAGTGCTTTTATCATGTTCCATACACAAATATAAACATTAAAGTCTTGAGTGCAGAATATAAACAATAATGTATCTGCCAGGTTAGTCTGCATGATTGTGTCATGCTTTTTCTCTCTTATTTTGGTAGTCACATTGATGACATGGAACTAGAGAATGATACACGAATTTCAGAATTTCTTCTTCTGGGATTTTCTGAAGAATCAGAATTGCAACCCTTCCTCTTTGGGCTATTCCTGTCCATGTACCTGGTCACCATACTTGGAAACCAGCTCATCATCCTAGCCGTCAGCTCTGACTCCCACCTCCACACCCCCATGTCCTTCTTCCTCACCAACCCGTCCTTTGTAGACATCTGTATCACCTCTACCACCGTCCCCAAGATGCTGGTGAATATACAAACACAGAGAAAAGTTATAACTTATGAAAGCTGCATCATACAGATCTACTTTTTCTTACTTTTTATAGGTTTGGACAACTTCTTCCTGACTGTGATGGCTTATGACCGCTTTGTGGCCATCTGTCACCCCCTACACTACACAGTTGTCATGAACCCCCTGCTCTGTGGACTGCTGGTTCTGGTGTCCTGGGTCATGAGTGCCCTGCATTCTTTGTTAGAAACCTTAATGGTGTTGCGGCTGTCCTTCTGTACAAAGTTGGAAATCCCCCACTTTTTCTGTGAAATTAATCAGATGATCCAACTTGCCTGTTCTGATACCTTTCCTAATAACATGGTGATATATTTTGCAGGTATGCTTCTGGGTGGTGCTCCCCTGGCCGGGGTCCTTTACTCTTACTCTAAGATAGTTTCCTCCATATGTAAAATCTCATCAACTGAGGGCAAGTACAAAGCATTTTCCACCTGTGCATCTCACCTCTTGGTTGTCTCCTTATTTTATTGTACAGTCCTAGGAGTGTACCTTAGCTCTCCTGCTACCCAGAGTTCCCATGCAAGTGCAGTGGCCTCAGTGATGTATGTGGTGGTCACACCCATGCTGAACCCCTTCATCTATAGCCTGAGGAACAAGGACATAAAGGGGGCTATAAATATATTTTTCAGAGGGAAGCCATAAAAGGGCCATTTTTCAATGAGTACCTGTGATTTCAGGCTTAATGCCTAACAGCGAGAAATTGTGATTCCTTGATTGGATCATGAAAGAAGAACTTAATCCTTATATTTATATTCTGGAGTTTCAATTTTCTAAAGTTCAATTGCTTTATTGATTTTAAATAATTCCCTTTATTGAACTTTCTGCTCCTTCTGATACCCAACAGTTTTTCCTTTTTTTTTTTTTTTCAAAGTTAGTCCCAACCTTGAATCAGAAACAATTTGGAGATTCCCATTTGCCTAATATAGTGATGAATGGTATATAATGATTACCCTATAGTTATTAACTGATTATTACTATATTACATATAGTGATTGTTTTATTAAACTACATTTGGCCATTGAGACCAAAATTTATAATTTTTATTGCAGAGGGAATTCTGTGATCACAGCTTTTCACTCTGTGCCTGCTATTCATTTCCACATTACTACTTTAAATGCTCTTCCTGGTGATAGAGACTTTAACCTACTGGTTTGTTTTGTAGCTAGTCATGGGCTTTATGATCCTCATTCGGATCCTATTCTCATATCACCTCAGCATCCACAGTATCCCTGGCACAGAATAATAAGGCAAAAATCGCTTATGAGCAACACAATCCAAGTGTAATCTACAGAAAGACAAATTTACATAAATCAAATGACTTAATATGGGCTCAATATCAGAGAAGAACCAAAATATGATGAAGTAAAATTTTCAATCATACAGTATTTTACTGTGGAATATGTGTTTTTGATGATGTACATCTACTCCCTGAAGTGTGTGAAATGTGTCCATGTGTAAAGGGTTTTATTTATTTGAGTGAAGAATTTTGTGGCAGATATTGAGTTAATTACTTGGATGATTTTGATGTTTCTATTTCAAATTTTCCAGGGCTACCTACAAATATTACTCTTTCTGCTGCCCTAAACTTAATATCTCTCCTTTTAAAAATGTTGTCATAAACATTGTAGTGTGAGTGAGTGAACAATAAGTGTATTCACTCTGTCATTAATTTCTTTGTTATCCTCTAAACTCTCTTCCAACCTATGATCAAAGGATGACTCAGACAAGAGTAGGAATTTCTGCTCAGTAATGCTCTGGGAATGGAAAGTTGTGACTGAGGGTCCCACAAGTTATTCCTACAAAAACATAGAGGTTTTTCCAAACTCTACCAGTATCTGGATGGGAATCTCAGTGGTGGTCACTTTTTAGTACAGTTACCTGAAATAAATGTGAATAACCAGGCCAATATGAATAGTGCTTTCATACATCAGAACAAATGTCAAAAATAAGAAGCAGTAGATTATTCTTAATATTCTCAGTTCTGTTTACATTGGTCATTGTATCAGTCAGCTCTTGCTGCATAACAAGCCATGCCAAAAGGAAACAATATAAGATAATCTTTTTGTTTTGTTTTTTAATCACATGGGGGTCTATGATGGGGAAGTCTTCTGGTCTCTGCTGGTCTCCTCATGAGGTTGCTGTCAACTGTGGGCCAGCTGGAAGTGCTCCGCTAATCTTGGCTGTGTTCTCACATTTGGGGTATTATTTTTAAAGATTTTATTTATTTATTTGAGAGAGAGAGTGCAGAGAGAGAGGGAGCGACAGCATGAGCGTGGGGGGAGGGGCAAGGGGGAGGAAAAGCAGGTTCCCCACTAAGCAGGGAGCAAGGTGTAGGGCTTGATCTCAGGACCCTGGGATCATGATCTGAAGCAAAGGCAGATGGTTAACACATTGAGCCACCCAGGTGCCCCGTTTCTAGGATTTATCCATTTCTTCTAGGTTGTCCAATATGTTGGAGTGAAATTGTTCATAGTGGTCTCCTATGATTCTTTGTAATTCTATTGTATTCGTTGTAAGGTGTCATCATTTGCTGATGACTTTATTTATTTACATCTTCTCCACTTCCTCCCCCCCTTTATTGGTCTAACTAAAGGTTTGTCAATTTTGCTAAGCTTTTCAAATTATTGAATCTTAAATATGTTAATGTTTTCTATTGGTTTTCTGGTCTATATATCATTTCTGTATGCTCAAATATTTGGTATTTCTTTTCTTCTGCTGCTTTGGACTTAATTTGTTCTTGTTTTTCTAGGTCTTTAAATAATAAAATTAAGTTATTTACTTAATGCTTTTTAAAATTTTTTCTTAATGTTGGCATTTATTGCTATAAACTTCCCTCTTAGAGCTGCTTCTGCAACATCTCATAAGCTTTTTTTAAATTTTATTTTATTTTGTTATGTTAGTCACCATACAGTACATCATTAGTTTTTGTTGTAGTGTTCCATGATTCATTGTTTTCATATAACACCCAGTGCTCCATGCGATACGTGCCCTCCTTAAAACCCATCACTGGGCTAACCCATCCCCCCACCCTTTAAAACCCTCAGTTTGTTTCTTGGAGTCCATAGTCTCCCATGGTTCATCTCCTCCTCCGATTTCCCCCCCTTCCTTTTTCCCTTTGATAGGCTGTGTTTCCATTTTCATTTGGTTCAAGATTTTTAAATATCCTTTTTAGTTTGTTCTTTCACGTGTCAGCTGTTCATGGCCGGCATGGTTTAATTCCCACATATTTGTGAATATCTCACATATTTGTGCCCTTATTTTCGTTGAAGCATTATTCACAATAGCCAAGACATGGAAATAGACCAGTATCCTTCAATGCATGAATTAATGATGATGGTATAACTATACAATGGAATTCAGCAATAAAAAAGGAAGATATCCTTTCCTTTGCTAAAACATATGGACCCCCAGGGCATTATGCTAAGTGAAATAGACAGAAAAAGTCAAATACTTTATGACCTGATTTATATGTTAAATACAAAAATCTGAGCTCATAGAAACAGAGTAGGTCTATATTTCCTGGTGCCAGGGGTTTGAGCAAATGAGAAGATGCTAGTGAAAGCCTACAAACCTAAGCCTTTAGTTATCAGATAAATGAGTTCTGGGAACTTAATGTACAACATGGTCATCATGGTAAAACATATTGTGTTACATGCTTGAATCTTGCTAACAGTCTACATAGATGTTCTTACAACAAAAAGAAATGGTAACTTTGTGAAGTGTTGGATGTATTCACTAACCTATTGTGGTGATCACTTACAATGTATATGTACATGAAATCACCAATCACAATTTTATCTATCAATTACGTTTCAGTAAAGCTGGAAAAGTGAGGAAAAATATTCTTATGTCTGTTTTCTATTTGTATTTAAAATGTCACCTCCTTCCAGGAGAACCCTCCCCATATAATAAATAAAAAATACTACAGGAGGAAAACTATTTTGAATATTTCAATGGGAAGGTCAATCAATAGGAAAACAGTATCTACATTAAGGATGCCATGAAGATGGCATCAGTGATACAACAGTTCTTAGCTCCATCCATCAGTGAGTTAGATACAAGGTCCCTGGTCTCTCTGAGGCATCTGTAAAGAAAAACTTTTATTTCTTTGATCCTTTCTTTATTTTTTATTATGTTCAGTTAACCACCATAGAGTACATCGTTAGTTTTTGACATAGTATTCAATGATTAATCAGTTGCATATAACACCCAGTGCTCATCACCACACGTGCCCTCCTTAATACCCATCACCTGGCTACCACATCCCCACACACCACTCCCTTCTGAAACCCTCAGTTTGTTTCTCAGGGTCCATAGTTTCTCATGGTTTGTCTCCCTCTCTGATTTCTCCCCTTCAGTTTTCCCTCACTTCCCCTATGGTCCTCCATGCTATTTCTTAAGTTGGATATATGAGTGAAACTATATGATAATTGTCTCTCTCTGCTTGACTTATTTCATGTAGCATAATCTCCTCTAGTTCCATCCATGTCGATGCAAATGGTGGGTATTCATCCTTTCTGATGGCTGAGTAATATTCCATTGTATATATGGACCACATCTTCTTTATCCATTCATATGTTGAAGGTCATCTCAGCTCCTTCCATAGTTTGGCTATTGTGGACAATGCTGTTATGAACATTGGGGTACATGTGCCCCTTCTTTTCACTACATCTGTATCTTTGGGGTAAATACCCAGTAGTGCAATTGCTTGGTCATAGGACAACTCTATTTTTAACTTCTTGAAGAAACTCCATACTGTTTTCCAAAGTGGCTGTACCAACTTGCATTCCCACCAACAGTGTGGGACAAGGGTTCCCCTTTCTCCACATCTTCCTCAACTTTTGTTGATTCCTGCATTGTTAATTTTTGCTATTCTAACTGGTGTAAGGTGGTATCTCAATGTGGTTTTGATTTGAATTTCCCTGACGGCTAGGGATATTGAACATTTTTTCATGTGTCTGTTAGCCATCTGTATGTCTTCTTTGGATAAGTGTTTGTTAATCTCTTCCATCCATTTTCTGACTGGATTAATTGTTTTTTGAGTGTTGAGTTTGAGAAGTTCTTTATAGATCTTGGATACCAGCCTTTTATCTCCAATGTCACTTGCAAATATCTTCTCCCATTCCGTGGGTTGCCTTTTAGTTTTGTTGCCTGTTTCCTTTGCTATGCACAAGCTTTTTATCTTGATGAAGTCCCAAAAGTTCATTTTTGCTTTTGTTTCCCTTGCCTTTAGAGATGTGTCTTGAAAGAAGTTGCTATGGCCGATGTCAAAGAGGTCACTGCCTATGTTCTCCTCTAGGATTTTGATGGATTCCTATTTCACAGTGAGGTTTTTTTATCCATTTTCAGTTTATCTTTGTGTATGGTGTAAGAGAATGGTCCAGTTTCATTTTTCTGTATGTAGCTGTCCAATTTTCCCAACACCATTTATTGAATAGCCTGTCTTTTTCCCACTGGATATTTTTTTCCTGCTTTGTCGAGGTTAGTTGACCATAGAGTTGAGGGTCCATTTCTGGAGTCTCTATTCTGTTCCACTGATCTATGTGGATCTATGCATCTGTTTTTGTTTCAGTACCATCCTGTCTTCATGATCACAGCTTTGTAATATAGCTTAAAGTCAGGCAGCTTGATATCCTTGGTTT